GGGGGGGGGGGGGGGGGGGGGGGGGGGGGGGGATCACTTTACTATTCCTTCTACGTATACTTGAAATCTCCCATAACATAAATGGTTAAAGATAAAAATATCTGGAAGGCCAGCAAAACAAAAGTAAGCAGCGTCATCTGAATATGTGCAACGAAAGCCCAACGTGAAAAAATGGTTGTTTTTGTTTAATAATGAGAATGTGTATCAGGCAAGATTCTAGCTTTAAAAAAAAAAAAAAACAAAAACCAAACAAACAACTCAGCCATGTGAACAGAAACCTGGCCTAACTGTAAGGCTATAAACAAACACTGCTCCAGAATGAACCACTCTATCTATATGGAGACTGATAAGGATAAAGGCCATCTCATAAAGCTGCTTTACTTTCAGAAGGAAAAAAAGTGGGGCGGGGGTGGAGGAGGTTACTTCACAAGCATGAAAATAGGTGTTACTCAAGGTAAAGGTAAGGATCTCAGAGGAGGAACTGGCTTAGGTAGAAATAAACCTCCTCACTGTTCCCCAGGGAACACGCTGGACAGACCCGATTCCCTAGCGGGTCCAGCTCGAGCCCGAAATGGCACAGTCTTCACACCCAGAGAGAAACCTGGATGAGGTTATGTGACAACTCACCGCTACTGTTGTGCTAATCGAATCCTCCTTTTTAACCCGGGACAGAAATGGCTCAGAACAGATGTTTACACCTTTCCTTTGCCCAAGTTCCCAAGTACCTTTTTATTTCCAAAAGATGTGAGTTTTCGTCTTTCCACAAACACATTCTCACCTGCGTTCTCCATCCCGTCCCCTCTGGGATCTCACGCCCTCTCTGGGACTGGGTGGCACGTGGACTCTTGACTTTCCTTCCCCCCTGAGCTACAGGCCTTCGTGGCCCCACCCAGCACCACCAACAGCCCTGCCTACCCTTTCCGCTGCTTCTTGACCATTCGGGTGATCCCACATGCCCACTGCCCGGACCACGCAGTCGGAGGCAGCCTCTCCACTGCCACTTCCCACTCTGTGGCTCGCCCCGCCCCTCGGGTGACTCCCCCTTTGGCCTCTGTGACCCTGCACGGCCTGATTTACGGCCCCCCTCTCCCTTGGCTCCCTCTTTGTCTACTCCCAACAGGGAGGGACATTTCCAGGTTCTCCCCGGAGTTCTCTCAGAGAGCACATCCATCTCTATAACTTCAATGATATGCGGGGGAGAGTCGAGGTCCCCGTCTCCTGAGCTCTTCTTTCTGGACCAACTGGACATTTCCACTATTTCCTATCAGAACTCAGCTACCACCCGCCCAAAGTCACACCCTCCATCCTTTACCTCAGATCAACCTCTACCCTGGACTACCCTATTTTGTTAACGGCACCACTGTTCTCTTAGAAGGCAGGCAGGCAGGCGCCAATGACACTGCTGACGTTCATTTCTCTCCGGCACATCCCATCTGTTGCAAAACCCTAGGGTCTACTTCGATAACAATTGTCATTTTGTTTCCTACACCCAATATCCCTCCAACATCATCAGAGCCCCTTCCCTTTCCAGGACTCCCTTTTCTCCTAGTCTAGGTGGCCTCTGGATTGAGCCGAGTCTGTGCTTAAATCCCAGCTCTGCCAATTACCAGCTGAGTGACCTCAGCAAAATTACCTAATCTCTGGGCCTGAATTCCTCATCAATAAAGAAAAAAACCCAGAGAAATAATACCAAGCTCATGAGGCAACTCTATGTG